TCCACTCTAACTACAGTCCTGTCAGCCACCACCGTGTGGGTAAACAACACGCACCCGCATGCGCGCAGTATTTTGTGCGCTTGGAAGATAGCACTGCACTGGAAGATAGCAAGCTGGGCAGACTGATTTGGGTGAGGACGACCGTTAATAACTGGCATGTTCCTAATTATTAATGTACATAGGATTTCACTGTGTAGACATAAATTAGCTGGAAAAATAATAAATTACATCCACTTAGTCATGCTAATTGTGTGAAAGCCTACGCTAATGTTAATTAAAAAAACAGTAGCTTATGGCTCTGAGATGGTAGAGTAGGAGTGCGGTCTCTGAATATCTGTATATACTGTACATCTGTAATACAGGGCATTGCAAGTATGTTATGTTTTACAAAGCTTTAGCAATTCATTTTTACTAAATTACTATAAGAGCCATTAAAACAGTACATTTAATATTATGCTAAGAATCGTTTCAATGATTGCACCTAGAAACTTTTAATACAAGTGTATGATTACTAGTTACAAATCCTCTTTTCACATTATTTGAAATAGCACCTCTTAATATTGTAGTTTCTTCTGTTTTGTAGCGTATCTGTGATCTGTGTGGTTTAATTTGCTGAAATTAAATTTTGCTGGAACAGTGAATTGCAAGAGCCCTTTTATGCTTGTTAAGGATCAAACAGAAGAAGCAGTCGTTGTGCATGGATTCTAAGTATAGAATGTACAATTTATTAATACATCACCAAAACATACATACAGTAGCAAACCAACATGAATAGTCATTCACAGATTACAAATAATAACATCAGGATTAAACATACAGAGTATGTTATTTTCGATATCCTAATTTATCTTTATGCAAATCACATATAATGAATCACATTCATTTACTGTGTGAACTAACTTGATCAAATGCTCTGAAATGTTTAAAATATCAGGGCTGGGTCCATTGCATCTGTCCAGTCTCCTTCAGCTGGCTGTTGATGTCCAGTGTGAAGAGAGCAAATGGTGCTGAAGTTGACTCCTGACTGAAAATAGTGTTGCACTGAACTTCAGATTACAGTCTGAGTACAACGCCTGGTTTGGCCACAACTAAGACACAGGCTGAGGGCTCCGTTCTTCTCCACTATAGCACTGAGATGTTCCTATGTTTGATACTGAGAGCGGAGATGGGAAAAGAAAGCAAGCTCTATAGTAATGTTTAATCCTGGAAACCACAATTCGTGACTATGACTTTATCAGGTAGAGTCTTGAGCATCCTCATTGCCTGTTCATCCTTTGGGTGATTGATTGTGACCTCTGGCCTAGGGTTTTAGTCAAGATGTCCCTTGGTGTGTACAAGACAGAAGACTCACATTGGGCAATTCATCATTAGAGATAATGAGAATGGACCCAGTTAATAATGACTCAGTCCGCATTAGAGATCAGGATATACCATTTATCAAAGAGACCCTTTTCAACTGCATTACTAGCATTTTACACAGAGGCCCAGTCTGCTTTGGTTATTATGTGGTCAAGGCTTTGGAAGCTTTAATAACTAATTCATAATGTAATGATATAGAAAACTATTATAAAGAGGCTACACTATATACATTTTTCAGACTTAAAATACTTGGCCATCACAACCGTTTATTGATACAATATACAATCTTTATTCACCATGTTCACATTATTTAACGTTATTTGTTCCAATGTTTTTGATTTGCATTTCTACACAAAGTGGAGAGTGAGCTGCAGTGGGTAAGAGGAGGGTTATTCTGACTGAGGTGTGTTCATGGTCTTTTCAGACTCGACCCCAGAAAGCCTGTGAGGGGAGCAAAACACCACACAGGAAGAAAGACAGATGGGCTGTAAGGTCAGGTAAGGTGGACACAGTGTCCACAGCTGGGACCCCAGACAGCACTGGGGACCCTGGGGCCCAGCAGAAGGGACAGCTGGACACACGACCTTACAGCCAGGGAGAGGAGGTCTCCTGTGTGGTCCAGACTGA